ATGGCGGACAACATCCAACAGCACATTGAAATCAGCCAAGATTTTGATTTTGACATTAAACATAGCTTCTTCATTAAACATAGCACTCTTCATTTAGCTCAGCTATAATGTGTTTTTTCTTGGACAAAGTCATTATTTGTTCTCTAAAACACTGGTCGACAATAACAAAATCAATACAAATTCAAAATAAATATTTGTTTACGTTATTAACGCATGCGCAATGAGAGAAAATGTCTGCGTTGGGCCGACTGCTCACGCTGAGCTAACAAAAAAGTATTTTTATGGCGTCAGTTCTACGTCAACTTTCCACTGACGCCCAAATAAGGCGCTAGTTCTAAGAAACCAGGCCTTGAGCTAACAAACCAGTATTTTGTTGGCGTCAATGGGACGTTGACGTCCCGCTGACGCCCAGATAAGGCGCTTGTCCTAAGAAACCAGACCTTTACAACTGTTTGTCCCTCTCAGCCGCATTGGTTTTTCTTGTTTTGCTTTTTATCTTTTGCTATTTTTTATTGATCATCATAAAATAATGTATATTCTTTTAACTCATAATATACGAATAATGTTACCATGTAATAAGCAGTTAATGCACGCATTTAAATAAATAAATGGCGTGGTTAAATAATATTTTATTCTTTTCATGCATAATAAAAATATTTATATTATAGTTTGCAACAGACAGTTTAAAAAACAAAAAATATTTTGAATATAAAATTGTTTTATTTCATATTTTTAAGATATTATGAATTTATAAAAATATGTGTATTATAAAGGTAAAAAAAAAATGTATTTCGAATTTTTTTAAAAAAGTATGACACCACTATTTAATTATACCAACAAAAACATCTCATTTAGTAACACAAAGTTCACTTGACTTTATAATTGAATATCAGCGTTTTATTTTGTTCTTTCTTTGCACAATAAAATTCAATGCAAAACGTTCGAAACAACAGCAAAATAGGAATAGCACTGCAATAAGAATGAAACTCGAAGTGGTCTTATTTCAATGTTTTTTTTTTCCTTCTGGCAATAAGAAATTACATATAGAACAATGAGCTGGATTTGTATACATATTTTGGAACTTAATAAAATAAAATAAAAAAAAAATTACGAACGTATACTTAATAAACAGAACATTTAACTTTATTCGCCTTAAGGAGCTAAATGAGCGGTGATTAAAAAAAGTAAAACTTGAGTATCAAGGAAAAAAAAAAAAAAAAAAAAAAAAAAAAAAAGCTCAACCTAACATTTTTAAATTATTGCTATTTGAAACAATAGCAAAATGAATTAATAAGAAAAATTTCAAACTACATTCTATTTACATAAAAAATATTGAACTGAATATTCATGATACAGTAAGAAAATTTTTTCATGTAATAAACAGAACACTTTGTTCCTTCGTATAATAAAAAATTATACGCAATTCAACCATAAAATTATAATAAAACCATTCTCTGTTTAATTACCTTATTAAAAAAAAGAGAAAAGATCAAACCGGACTAAAATATGTCAAATACATAAACATTAGCGAGGACATAAAAATTATTATCCAAGGGGGAAATAAATCAAAAATCTCTGTAAGATAATCCAGAAAGGAAATAAGATCTAGAATAAAAGAAAATCAGCTCAAGACATTGTTCTCAAATAGATTTGATTGCAGACATTTTACACCTGCATACCATAAAATTAATCCGCGTCATTTTCTTTGAGGTTCTCTAATACCCAAGATTTCCAACTTCTTTGTTTTTAGCCGACATTGACGTTTATGGATGAGAAAACAAAGTGGGCGGAGTCTATTGAAGGGGGTTTAACTTTTCTTTCCTCTTATTGGTGAAAAACTTTTGGCTAGGCAAAGATTTCCACCCACTTCGGGAGGAGCTAAATGGGCGTCAACTACGAAGTTCAACAATCCCTTTCGAGAGGGCAACTTCCAAATCGAGGTAGAGTAGTTGCGCAGGCGCGCACGTACACAAGCTCGGTGAAAGAACGTGCGGCTTATATTTCATTGACTACTGCTCTCGTTTGCACTGCGCTCTTGAAAGCATTCCCTTTTCTAAAGGGGTTGAAGCTGGCTTTGACTGCACCTCATGGTCATTCTTCAAGAAAAGATGACGCTGACGCACAGTGTTCCGTCGTCATTCTTCTAGGAAAAAACTACCCGATGCGGCTAACGAATTGTATTCCACCATCCTTCTTCTAGATCCGATGTTGCTAATACGTTCTATTCCATCTTTCTATTCCTTTAGATAAAAGATGCCGCATCGCATTCCATCGTTATTCTTCTGAGTACCCGATGCTGTAGTATTGTATTCCAAAGTGTGTCTTGGTCTGAAAGCCATGCCGAGGCCCGGTCGCAGTACCTATGGCGACCAAAAGCCTCCTTATTCCTACATCTCACTGACTTTTATGGCCATTAATAGTTCCAGTGAGAAGATGTTGACTTTAAGTGAAATCTACAAGTTTATAATGGACCGTTTTCCATACTACCAAAAAAACACACAGAGATGGCAAAACAGTTTGCGCCATAACCTGTCTTTCAATGACTGTTTCATCAAAATCCCAAGGAGGCCCGACAGGCCAGGAAAGGGCAGCTACTGGGCCCTGCACCCCGCTTGCGGAGATATGTTCGAGAATGGGAGCTACCTCAGACGCCGGAAACGATTCAAGCTCAGCAAACAAGCAAAAGACGCAACAGCAGCCGCCCTGGCAGACATGAAACACTTTGAAAGCATGGGACAAGTCGCCGTGCAGGAACATGCAAAAATGCGACTCACAGCCCTGGCAGCAGCCCCAAGCCATCTGCAGCCTCTAAGTGAAACATTACTAACGACGCCTATGCCAACAACTTACAAGCAGCCTTTTACGATTGATAACATCATAGGCACGGACTTTAAGACCGGTGGATTTGTGGGGGGAAGCCCGGCCTTTCAGGGGCACCAGGGCTTAATCCCTCAATCCATACTCGCGCCCCGGTCCCTAGCGAACTTTTCACTAAACATGGCTGGTTGGCCCGCTACCTATACATCAGCTGCTTATAATCCGGTGATGAACAGTGCGGACTTGTATTTCACCGCGGCAAAACCTCAACCAGCGACCAGTGTGTTCAGCTTTCCCCTACATCCTCACCTTCATAGGAATTTCGGAACTTTTCCAGCTGCTCTACCCTCTTACATTCCCTATAAGAACCATTTGTACCCGGGTGCTACTGCCCTGCCTTCGCTGACCGAACATGCGATGCTGGGATCTGCGGTGATGCCTTCGCACGCGATCTCCCCGCCGGTGAGGGTGGACTCTGTATCCAGCGATATTTCGTCTCAATCACTCGATGTTGTATCGGACGATTCATCGAAGTAAACATCGTCTGCCGGTGATTTTCAACCCTTTCGAAGCTCGCAGTAAGCACACTTTCTCTAAAGAAACATTTTTATTTCTTCATTTTTATTCTCATAAAAATGGCGAGGTATTTTTGTTTTAATTACAAATTAATGAAAAAATTTCATATTTTAAAAAATGTATACTGCAAAATATGTTTTTTTCTAAAAAGGAAATCATTATCCTGCAATCTATTTATAAATTTGTTAACCATAACCTTTTATCTATGCATAAGTTAATAAGTAGACTAATCTACTCATTTAGTTTATTAGTAGCCCATATTATTAATTTAACGTTAATTAATAGATAATATTAATTGATAGATAAAGATTCTGTTTATCTATGGGTAAATTAGTTGACCATATTGCTAATAAATAAATAAATAAGTTACTTAGTAGATCAAATAGCTGCTCTCAATCCAAGGGTTAATTAGTAGGCCATATTACTGCAATTAAATAGCATGTTCAACATGAATTAGAAAGTTTTAACCACCCTGTCAAGTCTCTGAATTTTAATTGAAATGTTTTTCAATCAGTTTATTATTGAAACATTGATCAGTTTTTTAAAATATTTAAAAAGTATCTTTTTTATATTCATTTATTTATTGTTTTTAACACGTGTGTAATTGCTTACACTATTTATTCCAAAATAATTTATAACTATGAGATATAACTTCTTGAAGATCTGAGATATAAAATTTTAAACATAAATTTTATTACTTCATTTTTTGCATGCAATGAAGGTTTATCGAAATTTTCGACACATTTAATGAAGTTTGGCACAAATTTTTATTGTGATGTTACAGTTAAAAAAGTTGTTGAAACGTTTTAGAAAATTGAATTTATTTTTCGCCTTTAATCAATCTTCTTTTTTTTTCTTTCTAAATTTTCTCGCTTTTTTCTTTTTTTTAAACTCCTATAGTCATTCAGAACGACTTATTTACAAACTCTTTGCTTAAAGCATTACATGTCAACCATTTAATTGCAGTAAATGGACTCTAAATGATAACAGTATGCATGTTATAAATTGGGCACTAAATCATAATGATATACCTCTTAAATTGGTATCTGAATCATAATAATATGCATGTCATAAGTTGTGCTCGATATCACAACAGTATACATGTCATAAGTTGTGCTCTATATTATAAAAGTATACATGTCATAAGGTTTCACGGGGCAGTCAGTTCCTTATATGAATAGGTCAAAGGTAAATGCTTTTTTTTTATTGTTTAAAATATATTTTCAGTACTTAAGGAGTAGGGTATGAAAGTAAATAGTTTCCTTGCATTTATTATGTTTAAAGAATAACTTTTGGTTTAATTTGCGAATTTTGCTTGAGTTTCCGGTCAGTCTGAGGTAGTTTCCATTCTCGTTCTTTCGCAAGTCGGTCGCAACACAACAACCAAAAGTTAGGCTTATAAACTAATTCAAAATGTCGGGGGGCGAAGTGTATTTTTTTTCCTTCTGTAAATACTTCAAAAGTTATCAAAAAATTAAAACAATTTTTTGAATACCTTTTAAATATGTAAATTTTTTGTTTATTTATTATGTGTTATTATGTTTATAAATATTTATTGATTTTCTCCCAAAAAATTACCTGTAAAAATATTGAGGAATGTTTAGAGACAAATATTTAAAAGGAGCATACTTTTCATCACAAGTTGTACTCAGGTGGACAAAACCACATATTTTTAGTATGTTTTATTTTGTATTTTTAAATCGTATATAATTAAACATAAATTAGGCATGGAGTTCAATTAATAAGTAATAACAATTAATTTTCAAATTCTAAAATTAAATTCTTAAAAAAGTGTAAATAAACTAAATATAAGTGACATATTTATAAGTGTTAAGAAGTACATTTTTAAACCGAATTTCACTAAATTAGGCACAGAAAATTAATAGTTTAAGTAACAAGAATACACATTTTAAGAAAAATTAATTAATTAAATTAAAGTTCAATAAAGTATTTGGATATATTTTGGGACTTGAGAAAGTTTGATTTCAACTAGTTTCTTAAATTATTATTGTGATACATTTGTTATTGTGCTTTAATGAATATTACTTCATGTTTCAGTATATATTCAATATTACTTTACATGGCAATGTTTTAAAAATTGCTCATTTTGGTTAATGATAGGGAAAAAACAGATATTTGAAATTTAAGAATTAAGTTACGAATAATTTATCTTATTTTGATTATATTTATAGCAACTCAAATGACTCATAATACATTTGTAATATAATTTTTTTTCTGGGTAATATTCCGGTAATGGTTAAAAAAAAAAGCTCATTTTATTTAGTGTTATAATTCAAGAGTAAAATGTTTCTTTTTCTTCCTTTTTTTCTCTTTTTTTCTCTTTTGCGTGTTCGTATTAAAAGTGTTACAATCCATAAATATTATAATCGATAATTATTAATCTATAACTATTAATCTATAATTATTAATCTATAACTAATAATCTATAATTATTAATCTATAATTATTTCATAATATTTGCGATTCATCATGCAATGATGGTTACAATAATTCACTGTGGTAATTGTAATTATAAGTTACGGTGTTAAATATAATTTGAACATTCTATGTGAAATCGTAACATAAGTTATTGTTATTGTAACCATGAGTTATGGTTACAATTATGCATTTTCAATGAATATTCGAACTATATTCTAAAAATTTTTTTTAAGAAACACGTATGACAATTTTTAGAGCAATTTCTTTTATTCGAATAAATCAAATGCAATCAAAATTTAGGAAACAATGTGTGACAATTTTTAGAATATTTTTTTTTTATTCGAATTAATCAAATGTAATCAAAATTTTGAAAGAGTTAAAATATTCGAGAAGGAATGCTTTTTATGCCTGAGAAAAATAGACATTTGAAAAAATTTATATTTGCATTTTTTTACATTCTTCTGAAAAACGTTTTACACAGAATTTTTCAATTCTGTGACAAAAAAAAAGAAAAAAAAAAGAAAAATGATCTTGTCATATTTGAACTTTAATGTGTTTTTCTAACATGAAATCGATTTCAATCAGCTCAGTATTTTCAGTACTAACGCAAATCAATTAAAAATAGAATTATTAACAAATCTAATGTCTTCAAAAAATGTTGAATTCAAAGTTTAGATTATTGATAATTTATTGAGAATCCTTATTTGAAGTTAGTCCTTAGTTGATAGTTATAGTTATCTTTAGTTGATTACTTTACAAACTATAATAATCATTGAACCTAAATCTAAAATTAGCAGTTATAATATAAATTGAACTTAGTAAGTTAATTTAAGTTTTATGTTAGAAAAATAAAATGCGTATTTCAAACGATTATTTGATTTCTTAATTCAATATTTGTTAAAATAATATGTGTGGGAGGAAAAAATAAAAACATAATGTTGTTATTGAAAATTTCGGGAAAAGATTTTATTTTAGTCAAAATACGTTATTTAGCATAAAATTCCATTAGTTGTGCAATGTTTGTCAATTATCAATATATTATTTATCTACCATATATATATTTTAAGTCATAGATAATACTTATTCATGTATAATATTTATTTTCATACATAATTCATTTCATATCATATTCATTTATAATTACATTTTCTTTCCACGATTACTTGAGACGTTATTTCAATGTTTTTGAGCAATCAATTGAAAAATTATTTATTTTTAACTGCGAAATAGTATTTAATAACGACAAACAACTTTTTTTTTTCTGTTGTTACAAAGCATGTTATAAACTAGAAGAAAATTTTGTTCGAAATTTTAATTTAGCTAATCTATATTCGACACCGAATCCTAATGTTTCCAATTTGTCAATATTTGTAACCGAATAAATTTATTTTCTTCTTAAGTTTTTATGTAAATGCACAAAACATATTTAAGTCCTGATTTAAAAATATATTGATACTTTTTAATAATTTTAAAAATGTTTTTTCGATGGTGTCAATTATTTCAAATTTTGCGGGAAAAAAAATGTAAAACTTTTAAAATTGGTTACAAATAGGAATGATTAATTAAACCAATTCCTTAAATCCAATTAATCGAGTGATTTTAAAATTTATCCATGAATACGTTAAGTGAATTCAATTCCGAAATTCTCAAGCTCTATAATTTGATTTTCAAAATTAACGAAGTATAAATCCTTGTAAAACTTTAAATCTTAAACTTTTAAATTTTCGTCACAATCAGTTTTATCACAGAATAGTTCTGTCACTGTCACACAGTTCTGAGACGCTGTCACACAGTTCTTATCCAATTTGGTAACTATTTAATTAATTTAAAAAAAGGATCATAAAATGCTTATGCAACCACAGCAAAAGGTGCAAAACTGTTTGAAATCATTTGATTTTTAAAATTAGCGAAGTATAAATTCTTGCAAAAGTTTAAATCTTAAACTTTTAAATTTTCGTCACAATCAGTTTTATCACAGAATAGTTCTGTCACTGTCACACAGTTCTGAGACGCTGTCACACAGTTCGTATCCAATTGGGTAACTATTTAATTAATTTAAAAAAAAATGATCATAAAATGCTTATGCAACCACTGCAAGAGGCACAAAACTGTTTGAAATCATTCCTTTATATCTGTTCAAATACATGTTGCGAATCATTGAAGTCAATTAACTAACTTTATTGCATAGTAGTTTTAAGATTATATTAGTAAAATATTTAGTCTTAATTGTGGAAGAAGAATATATTGGATTATTGTTTTATTTTACTTATTTAGGAATAAAAATATATATATTAGTGAAGATATTTAGCCTTAATTATAGGAGAAGAATATATTGGATTATTGTTTTATTTTACTTATTAAAGATATAAAAATTTAACTGAAGAAAAATAGTGGAATGTTAAGAAGAATTGGCAAAATAAGATATAAATTATTTATTTCTTTTACTTAATTAGTACTCTTGAAAACTCTTTTATGTCTGTTAAAATACATGCGAATCATTAAAACCAATAAATCACATTTTGTTTGTTACAGAAGAGATTTTGTTTGTTACAGAAGAGAGAATTACATTTTGTTTGTTACAGAAGAGAAATGACTTGGATTATTTTACTTATTTAAAAATAGCCCAATATTCAGAAATATACTTTCGCAAAATTTAATTATATTTATTTAGTCAATTACTTAAAAATTATTTTAACTATGATAGTTCTGATTTATGATTAATAATTTATACCAACATGTAAATATTCATTAATATAAAACTTCCTAAAATTTTTTTTATTCAATCATAGAAAAAGCTGAAATTAAAATAATTTTCTATATGTGTCATTGCGATGAAAATTTCCACTTGGAGTTGTTTATCTCCTAAATACGTGAAGCTGTCCAGTTTTCTCTCCTAATTTCAAAAAATACAGAGTTGTTTTCGAATCCCTTTTATTGAAAATGTTCTCGATTTCATAAGAAAATCACAAATTAAAGACCAGCATTCGAATCAATTGTGCAATATAAAATATGCTTTTATATGTCATGCAGAGCATTAAAAATGTTAACTAAATAAAAAAAAACTAATCAAAGAGTTCTCGTTGCAACTAAATTTACCGTTCTAAATTGTTTTGATTAGATTAAACTCATTTAAAAATGTAATTTCGTAGCAGCACTTTAAATTTTTTTGTATGTATGATTAGTGTTAAATAAAATAAACAATTTCTCATAATTTCCAAATTTCAACATGTCTTTAGTTCTAAACATTAAAAAAAAGATATCAGAAAGGAAAAGTCTAGTTAAACGTGAGAGAATTTTGATTAAAGTATTGATTTTGAGACTTCCTAAATTTCTACTTTTCTTAGTTCCTTAATATACACTCTTAATATACGTATATTCTTATCAGTCACTTATCTTAATCTTATCTTTCACTTTTCTTAGCAGTTTATGGTTTGCCACGGGGAGGGGGGGACATTATCATTGACTCTTATGCTTAGGTACCATATTCTAATAATTAAATTTGGGATACATTCTTTAATTATTTCCGAGAGTTTAAATATAGTAAAGGAAAGCATTACATAGAACTTTAAATGTTTATTCAAAACATAACTGGGAGTTTAGTGAGTTGAATATTATAAGTAATCATCCAAATTAAGTGTACTTTACGAACTCAAGTTTTATTCATTTCATTTTAATCACATCATTTCATTTAATCATTTTCGTTTTTGAAAGCATAAAGTAGTGATGAAAAAAAAAATAATATCTAAGAAATGCTATTGGAAATGATATCATATCCTATACTTACACTTAAAAATTATTTGCCACTAAATTCTACATCTTAAATATTTTTATCTCAAGATTTTTTGTTTTATCCCTCACTTAATTAAAATTATTTTTCATTTGCTTGCTTTCCTCTCAAAAACCCTTTTCATAAAATATTATTCGACTGTTGAAATCAAAACTTTCTGAAGAAATAAACAATAAAAGAATAAGAATAAGAATGTGAACTTTTTTTGAAATGATAGGATTAAAATGGTGAAAAAAATAAATATTTTAAATAAATCAAAGACTAACAGAAAAAAAAATTATAGCTATGCCAAATCAACTTACAATATAATTTTCGTGTTTCCATTAATTAGAATTTATTTACAGATAATTTAAATAAACTTGCGGAAAATTTTCGATTAATTTATTAATTGAAAATCATATTTATTAATTGAAGTAATTTGTGCTATTCTGCAAAAAATTTAAAAACGATTTTCATAAAAAATTTAAAAAGCTAAAAAATGTTTTGAGAACAGAAAAGCTTTATTTATTGCATAATTTAGTGTATTGCTTTAGTGTAAATTGAATTTTTAGTCTACAAAACTTTAAAAATAATTTTAGCATATTTTCAAGTTTTGTTAAAAACTATCATTAAAAAACAACATTAATATATCCAAATGCGAAATTCTTAATTTAAGCATTTTAGTTCTGTTTAACGTAAAAGATAGTTATTATAAGAACAATATTTTGTGAGAAATACATATATAGCGCAAGTAAATTATGTATTTTTTTATTAAATAACAATTATTGGTAAAATAATGTGATTGTATTAGTAACTAAGATAAAATTTAATGATACTTTTTGAATTCTTCTCTCAAAATTAAATACTCAACCGAATGGTTGTTTGGTTTTTGTTGAAATTCTTTGTTTGCAATGGTTTTTGATTAGAAGAAAAAATAAAAGACTGAAAACAACTTATAAAATGCTCTGAAGATACCTAAAATTTAGGATAGTTTCGATGCTTAGAATATCTAATCGTAATTCTTCAGTCAAATTACGTAATTGATAACCAGATTTTCTTTTTTCAATTTTTGATTAGTTATACTTCTTTATTGAATTGAAAACTAAGTAAAAATTAAAATACTACATTATCCCTGTATAAAGTTAAACATAATATAAAAGCAATGTAATATGTTACATAAAAATATTGACGAAAGAAAAGAATTTTTGAATCAATCACTGAAATTCATGAATTTCAGATGAGGAATATTACACACACTTTGATAGAATGAAAATTTTTAAATCATACTTGAAGTTTCCAGAAATGTAATAGTTATTATAACAGTTTAATAATAGCTGCGATGCGTATATAAGCTCATCGCCACTATTTATTTACTATTGATATCAATGCAACTAGTGCAAAAGTGTTGATATCTTCACTGTAAGAATCATTAAACTAATTATTCAAATGTTTCGTCAGTTTAAATCAATGCAATCAATCAAAAGTACTGTAACTAAAGTGCAAAAAATTATACAATTTCTAAATTTTGAAGATAAGTTTCATTTCCATAACGAAATATAAAATATAGTATGGGATTAATGTATGAACTATTAAGCATTCATATATGAAAGAAAATAAAAATTTTAATGAATGAATTCTATTGAATTAATTTAAAACTCATTAACTTATGTTAACAACAAATTAATTGTAAAAATCTAACGTAAATTTAGTTATTATTCTCTAAATTAAATTTAATAACTACAAATTTAATTAACGTTA